CATGTGGGGGATTATTGGGATTTTAAGCTTGTGTAGCTTAAAGAGGGTGAATGAGAAATGGAGAGAAAACAAAATATTTGAGTTTCCCTTGGCAAAGGGACATTGTCCCATATCGGAGGAAGAAAAGGCTTTTGATGGGTATATATATAATTGCTCTTCTTCTAGCTCTTAGAGAGTTAAGAAGAAGGCAAGCCTCGTGCCGTCGTCGTCGTCGCTCGCTCGGCTCAGCTTCGGCTTCGGCTTCGGCTTCGGATTCGGATTCGAATTTGGATTTGGATTTGGATTTGGATTTGGTCAAAGATCGATTGATTGATTAATCTTTTTGGATAAAATTCCTTTCAATTATTTAATTAATTAATTAAATAATTAACGAAAAATTCAATCCGGAATAACCCATGACCCGCGATCCGGTTCAGTCAGGCCCGTTTTCTTTTCCGGATTATTTTAAATATATTTTCCCTCAATGTTTCAAACAACCCTGTTCCAACAGCCATGGCTCGATTTATTCATATACTATTTTTTTTTCAGAATCTATTTCGTTAAACAAGTATTACTAACTTTCTGTTTTGTTTTTCTAGAAAGTTTAATTATTTATTACAGCAATACATAATTATAACATAAACAACTCCAAGAGCTCAAGCCGAAAGTCTTAACAAGGCGAATTCTCATTGCTCAGGTTGGGTCGAACGCCAAAGCGCGCTAGTGGTCATTGTATTTTCTAAATCCTGGTCAAGTATTCCGCTAGGAATTCAGTCGAGTGGCTTGAAATAGAAGAAAAGGAGGTATGTGTAATATTTCAAACCATAAGGAAAATAAGCGTTATAAAACAAATCTACAGCGGGATCTCTGAAATTGTATTTAAGAAATTGGATAGAAGGAATATCGTTTAACATAGACAAATAAATCATCTAAAAATTTTAATGTTTTCTCTTTCAAAATTAAACTTGTAGAAATTCAAGTTTACATCATAAGAATAGTACGATTAGAAGCAATTAACAAGAAGAGATGAAGATCACAGATAGAAGAATTCATTAGTTTGAGGAGACGAAGAGAAGAAGATAGAGTATGAAGAACAGAGAAGAGAATGAACTAATGAAAGAATTTTCTTCATTGATTGATTTCTGTATACATCTACACCTTTATATAGAAGCAGATCATCTCCTGCTTCTCTAAGAATAAAATCTCCATAAGTCGTAACCATATAACTGACTCGTAACTAACTTGACTAACTTTTAACCAAGTGTAACTAACTTCTTGAACCTATGAGCTGAGCTACTAGACTAATTGTTTCCTTCACGTTCTTGTCATTATATTCAATACTCCCCTCAAGCTAGGTGGAGTAAAGATATTAAGTAATCCTAGCTTGGACCTTAAGTGTAGGTGTTGAACTTTGTTTAGCCCCTTTGTAAGAATGTCAACTGGCTGTTAGTTGGTATTAATGTATTCAGTCCTCACAAGTATTTATTGTATCTTCTCTCTTATGAAATAATTATCTATCTCAATATGTTTTGTTCTTTTGTGAAAAACTGGATTAGTTGGAATTTGAATTGCAGCTTTGCTGTCACTATAAGTAGTTATTGGGAGTTCAAACTTGAGACTAATTTCTTTGAGCATTCCTAATAGCCATGTCAATTCTACTACTGCTGAAGCCATGCTTCTATACAATAATTCAGAAGAGCTTCTTGAGATTGTAGTCTGTTTCTTTGATTTCCACGACACTATTGAATCTCTAATCTTCACTAGAAAACTTGTGATAGACTTCCTTGTTTGAGAGCATGCTGCCCAATCAGCATCACAAAATGCTGTAATTTTATCCTGAGGTTTATTTGATAGAAGCACACCTAGGTCAGGCTCATTTTTGATATATTTAACTATTCTTTGAGCTGCTTCCATGTGCGACCTTTTTGGTTGTTACAAAAATTAGCTTAAGTTCTGTACACTGAAGGCTATGTCAGACCTTGTGACTGTGAGATATGGTTACTTTCCAATAAGCTTTTGGTATGGTCCTCGATCAGTTAGGACTTCATCTTCTATGAGTGAAGCAGTTGAGAAGTGTTCATCATATTCCCTAGTTGTAAGTTTCAGATTGTTGTCCATAGATGTACCTGTTAGTTTTGCAGTTGAGAGTCCAAGTTTAGACACTAATTCTAATGCATATTTTCTTTGATGCATTAGGATTCCTTTATCTGATCTTGCAAATTCAATTCCTAAAAAGTATTTTAATTCTCCCAAGTCCTTCATCTTAAATGCTTTCTGTAGTGCACTCTTGGTGTCCTTTATAAGATCCAACCTATCACCTGTTATCGACATGTCATCAATATAGATAAGAACCATTGTACTGCCTTTGTCTGTCCTCTTGATGAATAAAGAATGATCAAATTAACTCTGAGTAAACTGGAAACTCAACAAAGCTTATGTCAATTTTGCATTCCACTGCCTTAGTGCCTGTTTTAATCCATAGAGGAATTTTATGAGTCTACACACTCTAATCTCCCCCTGACTCTGAAATCCCTATGATAATTCCATGTATATTTCATCAGTGAGATCTCCTTGTAGGAAGGAATTATACACATCCATTTGGTGTATATGCCAACCTCTTGAAGCTGCTATAGATAGGATTGATCTCACTGACACCATCTTGACTACATGAGAAAATACCTCCTGGTAGTTTATGCCTTCTTGTTGACTGTAACTTTTTGCTACAAGTCTTGCCTTAAGCCTTTCTACTTCACCTGTTGATTTATACTTAATCTTGTATATTCATTTGCAACCAATTGGTTTCTTCCCTTTTGGCAAGCTTACAATCTCCCATGTGTTATTCTCTTGTAGTGCATTGATCTCTTACTGCATTGCTTCAATCCAATCTGGATCTTGAGCTGCTTCAGCATAAGACTAAGGTTCTGTAACAGATGAGAAGGCTGATAGAAAAGCATTGTATTTTGGTAAGATTTTGTCATATGAGATGGAGTCTGAGATTGGATAAGTGGTATTGTTATGTAGACTAAGAGATATGAAGTCTTTTCTCCATATAGGTGGCTTTGAAGTTCTTATTGACTTTCTAGTGAGTTCAACTCTTGGTTTTGATCTTGACATAGGCTGAGTGAGCAATGGTTGAGTTGTTAGTGCTATAGTGGCTATATCAGAGGTTGTGTATTTATATTGATCTGAGGTTGTATAATGGATTATTTTTCTGGATTGGTTTGAGCCGGAGGCAATGATAGACTGATAGCTGATGGTAGTTGTGCTATCTCATTGTTTTCATTCACTCTCCTGTCAGAAGACTCTTATAGTCCCAGATTTGGTAGGTTGTGCTCATCTGCTGAAGCCATCTCAGCCATAGTGTTGGTGAAAATTGGAATATCAGTAGTACTCTATTTGAATGAAAAATCATCTTCCCTGAAACTAACATCCCTATTGACAAAAAAATATTTGTTATTGAGATCATATAAAGTATAACCTTTTTGTACCTTTGAATATCCCATCAGTACATCAGTCATTGTCCTTGGTTGTAGTTTATCAGTTTCAGTAAAGTTCTTGGCATAGCATAGGCATCCTATTACTCTTAGGTAATTGAGTAAAGGTTTTCTGTTATACATCTTTTCATATGGAGATAATTTAATCACAGATGAAGGCAACCTATTAATCAAATACATAGCAGTTTAAACACAATGTCCCCAAAATTTTAGAGGAATATTTGCCTTAAACCTGACTGCTCTTGTTATTTCTAGAATGTGTCTATGTTTTCTTTCTGCTATACCATTTTACTAGGGTGTATAGGCACATAACCTTTGATGTATTATACCTAATTGTTTGAATATATTGTTACATACATCATTTAGGAACTCAGTACCATTGTCAGATCTAACAACTTTAACTATGACATTAAACTGAGTTTGAACATATTTTTAGGAAGAATGGAATAACAGTACTGGCATCTGATTTTAGTTTTAACAAATAAACCTATGTCATTCTAGTGAAATTATCTACTATGGTTAGAAAATATTTGTTTTCATCAAAAGTTTGAACTTTGTAAGGTCCCCATACATCCATATGAATAAGATTAAATTTAGCAGAACTTTTACTTGAGTCGGTAGGGAAAGGTGGTCTACATTGTTTAGCACATGGACATATACTACACTTTTTAATAGTTTCTGCTATAACCTGATTATTAGCAGGTAGTATTTTATTTAAGGTAGTACTAGATACATGGCCAAATCTCATATGCCACATTTTTATTTCATCTTCACTAACAGTAGTAACTTGATGCACTTTTAGAATGGTTTCTCCAAGTTTTTATGTAGACTTGTTTAATAGCAGGTATAAGCCTTCACTCTCCTTACCAATCTCCTTCACCTTGCCGCTGCAAAGATCCTGAAACCCATAAAAGTTAGGATAAAAGGCAGTTACACAGTTTAATTATTTTGTTACCTGTGAGACTGACATAAGTTTATACTTGAACTGAGGCAGTAGAAATACATTAATTAGAGTACTGTTATCAGAAATTGTGCTAGAGCCAATGTGTGTTACTTGTGATACATCACCATTTGGTAATTGCACATTTTTTGAATTTGTACTTTTTAATAGAGATGCTTTGTTTAGCATGCTTATATCAGATACCATATGGTTTGTGGCACCAGTGTCAATAAGCTAATCTCTAAGGATTTTTGACACTGGCATTGCCTTACTGCTGCTAATACCTGCTTCTTACCTGGTACATTGGCTTAGGAAGCAGTATGAGAATTTGCACTTTGCAGCTGACTTTGATTAAGTAGTTGCACAATTTGTTCATATTGAGACTGAGTGAAAGCACATGCTCCAGTCTGGGTTATCTGTTCTGGGAGCTGATTCATTTGAGCCATTTGTGCAGGTGTCTCTGTATAGTGTACTCTGTTGGCTTTATTGTTCCCTTGATTATCAAGTTGTGTCAGCTGATCACTGGCTTCTTCTGAGAACACATTGTAAGCAGCAGATGAACCACCTGGTCCTCCTTTTCTTTTAAAATTTGATTCTTGAGGATATCTTTTCAGCTTATAACAATTTTCTCTGGTGTGAAATCTTATCTTGCAGTAATCACAATACAAGTTATTGGTTTTTCTTAACTTCTGACCTTGATATACTGTCTTAGAGTACATTGCAGTAGAATCAAGAGTAGGCATAGTACCTAATAGACCAACTGAGCTGGAGACTGTTCCCAAAGTCTTTTGTGACTCATCACTGATTATTAAGCATATGCTTGGTTTATTCAGAAATATCTGACTCCTAGCTTGTAGATAGTGATCATTCAACCCCATTAGAAACTGATATAATTTATGTCTTTGAAGATAAGCTACAAACTCCCTTAACTTATCATATTTGTAGCCCGGTAATGGCACTAGTGCCTCTAATTCAACCCAAAGCTCTTTCAGCTTTGTGAAGTAAGTTGCCACAGACGTTGTTCCTTGAGTTAGTCTTACAATTTCTTGATGTAGGCTAAATGATCTTGATCCATCCACCTTATTGAATCTTTCTTTCATATCTTCCCAAACATCTTGAACACTATCTGCATAACCATTCCCCGTAACAAATTACTAGACACAATGTTCATTATCTAAGATTGGACTATAGCATTACACCTCTCCCACTTGTACCAAAATTCTTCTCTAAAATTTTCTTACTTCCAAGAGCCATCAACAAATCCCAACTTGTTTCTTTCTAGCAGGGCTATTCTCATATATTTACTCCATAAAGAATAATTCTCTAAACCAGTTAATTGTAAGGAGATGAGAGAAATGCCACTTACATTAGTCGAGTGTAGATATAGAGGATGATTATAATCCGTGACAGGTGCAGATTGAGTTCCATTTACATCAACTTGAACAATAGATGGTGAAGTACCAATCGTGGTTCTCAGATTCTCAGAATTATTGATTGTCATATCTTCAGACAATTGCAATTAACCATCAAAGCTTGTTTCAATTCAAATTGCCAGAATACAGATTCTCAGACTTCTTCAAGATTTGAAGAAAGATTTTTGACAGATTTAAATTGACAAGAACAAGAACTTTTAATTTGCGGAAGTGATTGGATTCTACTGCTCTGATACCATGTAGAAATTTAAATGTACATCATAAGAACAATATGATTAGAAGCAATTAACAAGAAGAGATGAAGATCACAGATAGAAAAATTCATTAGTTTGAGGAGACGAAGAGAAGGAGAAGAGAGAGTATGAAGAACAGAGAAGAGAATGAACTAAGAGAAGAATTTTCTTCATTGATTGATTTCTGTATACATCTACACATTTATATAGAAGCAGATCATCCCCTGTTTCTCTAAGAATAAAATCTCTACAAGTCATAACCATATAACTGACTCGTAACTAACTTAACTAACTTTTAACCAACTGTAACTAACTTTTTGAACCTATGAGCTGAGCTACTAGACTAATTATTTTCCTTCACATTCTTGTCATTATATTCAATAAAACTAATTAACACAGAATTTTTATTGAAACCTTGCGTTTGATTGGGAAGAGGTGATGTTTTATATTATCTTCACCAACCCATAAATTATACAATAAAGTTTGAGGAATATATTGTCCCCATTTCTTGAGGGGGAAAAAAAGATCAAATATTGCAACTGATTATTAATTAATAAGTATTTCATAATTATGACATAAATTTTTATGGAACAAAGAGAAATTTAGCTTTGTCTTCCGAAAAGGAAACGATAAGAGATAAATCACATACGTAGTTATTTTTAAACATTACAAAAGCTTGAAAAATGTGCTTCTTATATTTTCTTATTACAACTACCAAAATATTATTACTGTTACGCGGCGCCTTCCTGATGTTCCTTGGAAGGGCGACGTAAGGCTAAGCAACCGATGTCAGTGTGGTTGCTATGCGCCAACTGGGGTCCTCGCCGTACGCTAGACTAGATTGTCAATGCCGTACGGGAAAACCAAATGTCGTAAGCAATTGAGCTGCGAAAAATGAGCAACTGATGATGAAAGCTGATGATTGTATTGATGATGATGATGAAAGCTATTACAAGATGCAATGCGGTGTCGGGGGGGAGAGACACCAGTACAGAGAATTGTTTGAATGCTTGAATGTTTGAATGCTTTGGTCCCCCTTAATAATGCTTAAAAAAATAAACCAAAGTTACATGAGTTGACCTAAGAAAGCTGTAGAAGCACACTGAAAATAAATGAAGTAAAACTACTCTATAATTACAATGAAAAGGACTTAGTCTTCTATGGAAGCAAGTCCGATGGCAGCAACTTTGTCTTGAGCAGCAGGGTCTGCGCGCGCATTGCTGTGGGCGCGC